TTGTATGATTGCATTTGTGTTTATTATATACTTGTTTAAGTATAGCAAGTATAATGAATATAATGTAGGAATCGATAAGAGGAATCCGTAAGGAATCGGACCGTTAAGAAGGAATCGGTAAGGAATCGGAATTGTTAAAATCCTAACGAGTCCCAACCCTAGTCATGTTTGTGGTACTTATGGCCTTAGACTCCGTCACTATCTGTGTGCAGGCATGTGAGAAGGCCCCAGAGTGTCTGAAGGTTAAGATACTGTAAGATGAAGACCTTGTATGTTTAGACTCCAATGTTAGATACAGCTGTGAGTGATGTGCAAAATAGACCGTACAAGGCTGAGCCATCATTCTTTGTCCATGCACCTGTGCTGTGACAAAGCTTCTGGGATCAGATCTGTATTTAACATATATTCAAGTAAGATCAACTGTGGTTCATCAAAATGAAGATTGACCAAGTGTAGAAGTTTTTTTCTACATCATGTGGTGTTACAGCACCACACTGTACCAGAGGGTAATGTTGCGGCTTAGGCCGTGCAAATCCCCGTATCAGCAGTAAGGAAAGCCAATGCATTCATCCAAAAGTGGCTGGGCCCAGCCTGTCTAAAACTGGTTTCTACAGAGAGGATGCTCTGCAGCTGCCATTGCAGTCAATGAGCATGGGCTACAAGTAGCAGAAGACCTGGCGCGTGTTTGAGACGAGGCAATCAACTGACCAGGCAGTGAGGGATTCAAACATCCAGATCTGTAGTGGCTGCAAGTGGAAAACCCATGGTGAGGTCAACTGGCAGCTAGCAGGCTGTAGCACCAAAAGATCATTGGAAGAGTCCAGAAAGGACGGTCAGGTCTTGAGTGGGGAGAGGCTCTGCAGTTCTGGTCCGAGGCCAGCAAGAGGGAAAAGACAGAATTGCTGATGTCTGAGGTGACAAGGATGGAGGATGAGGTCTGAAAGATCAAGGCCATAGCACAGGGACAGCAAGGGAGCTCGACAACGTGGGAAAGCGTGTTCAGCAGAAAATCACCTAGGCGGACCTGTGCCACATCTGGGCAATATACAACACACTCCCCAGCCCACTGAACCTGCACTTTTGGTTTGGCCAGAGGGAAAGCTGCCCCCTCTTCAGCAGTTCAAATGCAAATCTCCAGTCAGGCCTCAAGGCCGCGCTGTCCCAAGGGTGCTACAGGTAGCGACATGACCAAGTCCTGAGCAGACAGACTGAGGTTCTGGAGAGGTGCAGACAAGACTTGATCAGAGGCCATCCTCCATTAGCAGGCAACCAAATCCAGTTTGTCAGAAAAGGAGGGGGCAACACAACCCTGCCTCAGAGAGGAAGAGGCTGAATAACTCTGACCTTGCTGCTTAGTGCAAGGAGGCTGGCTGGAGAACCGTCAGTTGAAATTAGTTGCTGTGGCTTTGCTGGCACATCAGCTGTTTGCATCCTGAAGTAAATGGGGATAACAGGAGCAAGCCAATGAAATGCCTGAAAGACCTGGCCAAAGAAGCAGAGAAGAGCAACTTCTGGCTGAGGCTCAAGAGGAGAGATAAGTGCTTGGGTAACACCAAGCACATGGGCTAGCTGCAGGGGGTGGCAAAGAAACCGCTGCTGCCCCACCACCAAGAGAAGTTCCAGGTGTAAAGGGGCGAAACTTTGAAAATCAGAGCCACAGGCACTGGAGGGGGTGTGACAGGCAGTAATGCCATGGCAGGCTAACACCTACCTGTGCATTCAGTATGACCTATTATCCAGCAGCCAGTTGTATCTTTATCTTTTTTTGTGATTCCATCGACGTCTCTGGAGAATATCCAGGACAAAATCAACTTTTAAATCCAGTATTTCCACCAAACAGTGAAGGACAGATAGCTGAGGTTCCATGCAAAAATCAGTCACTGCCGATCACCACACAATGTGTAAGCAAAACGGGGGTGGTGAGTGGATATTAAAATTATTGACTGAATGGAAATTTATTACCAACTATGACTGAACTGAGTGAGAGCAACACTAACCGTGATCAAAGAGACTCGAGACAAAGTGATGGTGCAAACACAGTGAGGTTTAATGCAAGGTGGTTATTTTTGCAATGCACCAGGTGAAGCCCACAATAAAATAATAAGATTGTCTTAAAATGTTCCTTTATAAACATGGGCTGGAATATGAATAAAAGTCCAATAAAAGAGGGGTGAGGACAGCTAAAAGTCCATTTGTTAAAAATAAATAGGGCTAACAAGTCCCTTTACTCAGATAAAAGAGAGGATAAAAGGACCATATTGTAGTCCCCCTTGCTTTTCTGGCTCCCAAGGACACATGTGCACACCAACACCGCAGGACGAACCCCCTGCCCAGACAAGGGAAAGCACCGGCAGTGCAGTGCACGCAAACTGAAAACCTGAGCTGTGCTCCTTAACCAGAGTGTTACTATATCCCCAAAGGGATACTGACACCGCCAGGCAAAGCTCCCCACTCTGCCACGGTGTGTACTTCGCGTTATAACACTCTGGGTTTACTCCGGCTGAGGACTAGCGTTCAAGTCCATCCCTGCTCTGCTCATAGCTGTGGCTCGCCGTGGCCTCTGATCCCTTCTCTCACTTGCTTTCTGGTGCCTTTGTCATGCAGTCTCGTGCAGACGCCAAGTTCTCTCCTCTGTGCTCTCCCTTGCGCTCTCCTCTAGCTAAACAGGCTCTTCTCATCCGTGTATCAGCAGTTTAGGCCTTCCCGTCCGCTGATTGGATGCAGGGTCATGCTCTAGCGTTCTCATAGGCTGATAGAACTGTCAGTAATCTAAAAACAGAGCTGCACGGGTGCATCACCTGTCACAGGAAATCATATTTGAACTCTAAAAGCATGCAGTAAAATCAAAAATAATGAAAAGTAAAAATAAAAAGTAAATGTCATACTGATTAATAATCGAGAGAACCTGTGGCGTGTTCAGACATTTTGTTGGGCAGGGTGTCAGGTTCGGTGACAGGAGGATCTCGTCTCTGCTTTTTGTGGATGACGTGGTCCTCCTAGCTCCATCGAACAGTGACCTCCGGCTCTTGCTGGGACGGTTCGCAGCCGAGTGTGAAGCGGCTGGGATGAGAATCAGCACCTCCATGTCTGAGGCCATGGTCGTCAGCCGGAAAAGGGTGGATTGCCCACTCCAGGTCGGGGGGGAGGTCCTGCCTCAGGTGGAGGAGTTTGTATCTCAGGACCTTGTTCACGAGTGAGGGTAGAATGGAGCGGGAGATTGACAGCGTCGGCGTCAGCAGTCATGCAGGCGCTTAACCTGTCTGTTGTGGTGAAGAGGGAACTTAGCCAGAAAGTGAGACTCTCGATTTACCGGTCGATCTGCGTTCCAACCCTCACCTATGGTCACGAGCTCTAAGTAGTGACCTAAAGAACGAGATCGCGAGTACAAGTGGCTGAAATAAGTTTCCTCCGCAGGGTGGCTGGGCTCAGCCTTAGAGATAGGGTGAGGAGCTCGGACATCCGGGAGGGACTCGGAGTAGAGCTGCTGCTCCTCCACATCGAGAGGAGCCAGTTGAGGTGGTTCGGGCATCTGGTAAGGATGCCTTCCAGACACCTCTATTGGGAGGTGTTTCGGGCATGTCCAACCGGGAGGAGACCTCGGGGCCGCCCCAGGACATGCTGTAGGGATTACATCGCCCGGCTGGCCTGGGAACGCCTCAGGGTTCCCTCAGAAGAGCTGATGGAAGTGGCTGGGGAGAGGACTGTCTGGGCTTCTTTGCTGAGGCTGATGCCCCCGCGACCTGGACCCGGATAAGCGGAGGACGATGAGTACAAGTACGAGTATGAAGGTGCTCAAATATAAAAAAGGGCAACCCTTCCATAAATATTTTGCACACATATGAGAAACGTTTTGGTGCACTCAAAAAGAATGCCCTACCAGCAGATTTCTATATGTCTGCCGGCACCAGAGGAGCTCCTGAGGCCTGAGTACATACAGTACATTTGTGTAGAGCCGTGGTGTGGGAGCTGTAAACATTATTTCAGGCTGAGTTTTGGTTTATAAAGACACATAAAAGTGGGAAAGCAATTTGACAGCTGTCTCCACTCACACCAGGCAGTTGGTACTGTGAGTTTTTTGTAAGATTTCTTTTAAAGGACGATGATAAGAGCTGTGAGGATGAACTAAAACAATAATGTTGTGGGCCTTCAAGCCAAGACAGTGGGTTAACAGATGCTTTGTAGAGCTGCAGAGTCAAGGGATAATTCACTGTGGATTTGTGACTGACAGAGACCCCTCTCACATTACACATGGTAATTTAATCCATAGTTATTCTAAAGGAATATTGATTTTCATGCTTGTTGTTGAGTCAATATTCAATATCTAATTTAAAGTCATGACTGACACAATGTTAACTGAAAAAAAAACACATTACAGTTCAGTAATGATTGCGTCACATGTTGATGTTTGGTTGATACTGAAGCTTGTTTTTTTAACACCTCTGATTGCAGTGACACCTCAGAGGTTGAGATGGCATCATCTGAGTAATTGAAGCAGGTGTGAAGAAACGTCCTGTCTGATGGGGTTCAGCTAATGAGCTGCAAAACGTTTTCACAGAGAGGAAAATCTCATGGGACATAACTGTGTGTGTGTTGTGGGTTTGCCGTAAATGGTCATCAACTCCAACAAACACTGATCTGTAGAGAGATGATTTTTGCACTTCATTTTTAGCTCTGCTCATTAAGTCCAACACAAAGTTCACATTAATTTTGTCTTATGTAACTTACTGAAAACTTTGTACGTTTGATTGGCGTCATTGTGGTTGTTGTCAGGTTGGGTGTGTCTGGGGCTGCAGCCCCAAATGTATTCCAAAAAGCCCCAAAATCTTTATGGTTCTCCCTGAAGAAATCTGATTTAATTGAGTGATGCTCTTCTGTTCTTAATATTCAGTAGCACCACCACATTTACGTAGCACTGTGATTCAGTTGTGATTTGTGATATTGAGCTTTATAAATAAAATTGACATTAAAATTGAATTAAAAAAAAAAGAGACAGCAGACAGTTTGAAAAGGTTATCCACACAAGTGTATTGTAGCTGGAGTCAAAGAATCACTCACATGCTGATTTAATTTCCACAGGAAATATGAAATATTTGAGATTAATTCAGGTGTTATATCGCTACAAGGGGATGAGTACTGAAATGTATTTAAATTTCATGTACAGCAGTGTTTAATGGTAAACTGTGTGAAGGTGACATCGCTGAATCATACAGGGTGGTGTTGAGCTGCAGCTGCTCAGATGTCATTTCCTGGATCCATCAAGACGTTTTTTCCGTGATTGGATCCGAGCACATTTCGGACACTTCTTTTCCACATAGCAGTGTTTGTGAAAGCAGGCCCTGCACACTGCGAAACAAGAAGCAGTATTAAGTCATTTCTGAACATTTTTTATAATTACAAAGATTGTGTCCCTGTTTTCTCCTTTTGTTCCCCACGTTGTGTTGTTCATGTTTGCCAGAGTTGCTTGGGAACAGTCGAAACAAACAGTATACAACAGTGATATTTCACAGCAGCATTTGGACTTGGATTTATTTGGGGTGCGTTCACACCTGCCCTGTTTGGTTCAATCAAACTCAGTGCGGTTCGTTTGGGCAGGTGTGAACACAGCAATCACACTCAGATGTGCACCAAACAACTGGGCCGAGACCTTCTTGAAGAGGTGGTCTCAGTCCGGTTCCAAAGGAACTCTGGTGCGGTTGGTTTGTGGTGAGAAGGTGTTCCGACCTGGATGTGAAGCAACTGCAGTCACATGACACATTGTTTGGGTTAAACATGAGCATGTTACAGTCCTGGAGGATTATTAATGTGCACCTCCTCCTGTACTGCCTTAATATGCACATTCAGCACATCCAATGCATCAAAACATTGTTTTCTAGTTGGAGCCGCGCCTCGTTTTCAAACTGTATGGTTTGACTAAAATGAACAATGACAGCAATATAGTCCACGATGAGCAGCGCTAAAATCAACCTGCGTAGTTGTCCCTCCATTGTGACATTAGAAAGTGTCACATTTATATTGCAAGAGTACTCTTCTTCAACGTTTGCTTTACTTCCTGGATTTTTCCCACATGGAAATTCTGACCAATCAAGAGCAGCTTTCTCACACAAGGCATTTGATCTGGTCCTCTTGTAAATGCTGCTGTGAGAACACAAACCAACTCTAGGCAATTATACAACTTTGGAACAACATGAGTCCCTGATTCAGACCAAAGAGACGACTCTAGGGCTGACAGCAGCCTAAGAGTCATGTTTGTGTTAAATTCTGAATTTAACTACAATAGTCACTCTCTTAAAGCTCTGTTTTGGTCTCCACATACTCTTGAGAAAGGCTCTTTGGCCAGATAGTTTTATTACCCACCTCTCAGTGTACCATGAATCCTGTCTCAGTAAGGTTAACGTCTGGAAGTAAGCCTGTTTTTATTTGGCGTCATCAGTCTTACAGCCTGCTTGTCTCATTTACTTTAAATTAATCAGCATTTGTTGGTGCTTACCTGGACATCGCCGACATATGTCTCTCTGAAAAGGAAAGATGATGTCTCGCTCTCTGCAGAACTCACAGATGAAACCTCGGGCCAGACACAGCTGTGTAAAAAAAAAAAAAATGATGGAATGTCTATAAGCCAATCATAGTGTTCCACATCATCTAAAGTCGACTGTAGTAGAGCCACGCCCACTTTTTTAACAAGCATGGCCGACCATAAGGCAAGGAGGAGGCGTAAGGCACGGATCAGTTTATAAATCATATTGTTAAAGTGCATCAGTTGTGTTTGAACAAATTATAAAGTAAACATGAGATGTTATGTTACTGATACATGTAAAAACAAAATTATAAAAGATTTACAGCTTTTACTCAGCATTGTCTTCAGCAGTTTCTGCCTATTGGAATAGATGGTGGATCTGAGTGTCACTGGAAAATGAAATACTGTTTAAACAGGGAGTAGGTGTTTTGATTGGATTTTCTAATGATGCAATCAGCTTATAATGCATCCAACTGATTATGTCGACAGAATATTAATCTCAGGAGGTTTTCAACACAGTTTTCTGAAAGCACTTCAGAAATGAAGTATATTTAAGTTGTTTTTTAAATGAATGCCACTAGTTCAAAAAACGCTTGCTGTGCCTTTTTATTGTTGCCAGACAACCATCCCATCACTTCCTTATCTTAACCTTCCCGTGTTATCACTCTACAGTTTATTGTATTATTATTATTATTATTATTATTATTAGATGTGACAGTAATCAGTGTGTAGCTGCTGCCATGTTGAGGCAGAGGGTACTGTCTGTAGCCCTGGTTGAGGGTGAGAGGCTGTCAGCAGATAAACAGAGATCTGTGTGGGTACATGAGACCCTAAAAAAGAGGCTGGATCATGGGGAGTACCACCAGTTGGTCCAGGAGCTTCTCCTCCATGACGGATGTTTCCATGCATATTTTAAGGCAGTTTGACAACCTGCTCTCTATTGTCGGGCTTAGCATAACAAAAACGAATACTAACTACAGGGAGTCTGTTGGTCCTGCCGAGCGACTGAGTACCGAGTACTGAGTAGTTTCTCCTCCATTGTTTACTAACTGTAAACATGTTGTCGTGACCACCACAGAAGGCCCGCCTCTCAAATCATCTGATCGGACAACGGGGAAAAAAAAGAGATGATGTGGGGTGCTTTTCTGCTCTGAGTCGACATTTTTTCAACTCAAGAAGTTCAGGGCACTCCGGCATGAATGCCGCGCGCCTAGAGCACAGAAACCCGAGGCACATAGCTACACAAACACAGCGAGCAAAAAGCTTCATTCTCATTAAAAACAATTACAAAAAGCCGCCTCCAGCTGCTAAAATGGTTTCTGTGTGATTGGGGCCCAAGTCTGTCATTTTCTTCCACAAACTGTCTTAAAAAATAGACGATGTAGCATATGACTGACTTTGTCATCTGGAGATGGAAGGGATGGTCGATGGCATGTCACCATGGCGAGATGTCTGCCAAGCTGCAGACTGCTGTTCTACACCAACTAACAACAAAACCGGTTGTGTTTTAGTGAGTCATCACTGCGTCTATTAGCAGCTTTTCAGCCCCCAAATCTTGGTGTTTTTTTAGCGACTCGTTACTGTGTTTCCAGCAGGGATGGGGCACCAAAACCAGGTATTTTAAGCCAATCCTAAGCTTTTTCTACCAATAACTAAACCAAAGTGTAAAGTTTCAGTGCATCCGCTTCATAGTGACGTGCATCTAGTGACGCATCAATGTATCTGTGGTTTGCAGAAACGTACGGCAAGTGGGTTGTGTTTTGAAGCCATCCAGAAATACACTGTATATATTTTCCGGATTAAAATATTAATATTCATGAAGTGTGTCCTGTCGCAGAGCTTCAGACTGACCTCACAGTTTTCAACATGATCGACAGCAGAGTGCAGCAGCGCTCTGGCCTGCGTCACGAGATGACCCTTCTTCACCCTCCACAGGTCATCCATGGAGAAGAGGTGTGGAGGCTCCAGCAGGTGAGCAGGAAACTGTTTGAACTCAGCCATCACCCTGAGACACAAATATACACACAAACATACTCAAACTGCTTCCTGTTGATGGCATGTATCTTGTTTGAGGGCTTTTGGTTGAACTTATATCGTAGGAAACAATTAGGAAAGTTTGCAGTGCGCCAATAATAAAGGGATGGAGAGAGTCATTAAAATACAGACAAGCGTGCCTCAGCCAGCACGGTTTTATTTTCAAAAGTTTCATTTTTCATGATGTCTCATTGTCAGAGGTGGAAGAAGTGCATGAAAATTTTCCTTAAAGGTGCAGTATGTACTTCTGGAGAGAGACAGTTGATTGTTGAGTTTCACTCACAGGGTGCCAAATGCATCGACCGTGCATGCAGCCTGTTACAGTTGCTCCGGCTTGTTTTCTTACTTTGTCCAACTTTTATTTATCTTCTTTTTATGCTGCATATCACAATTTTCCCACAGGGATCAATAAAGTGTTTCTGATGCCTGATTAAATTTGGACATTTTGGGTTGGTGGTTCAGTCCTTTAAACACAGGATTGGAGCTTTGTTATCATTTGTGAGACAATAAATGTTGAATATCTTTCATAGTCACTGTACGGACAATGTTAATGTGATTGTGGCATTTTATTGTAAATACTCTGATGGCATGTGTTCAGTGTGTTTGTAGCAGTTTCATGCAATGCTGCTTAACACAGTGTCTTTCTTTATATTTCCACCAGATGGCAGCAAAGACAATCATTATCAGATCCTACACACAGTGGTGTCATTATTATTAAACCTAGTTAGATATTGTATATACACTGTGCTTAAACTAATAAAGTAATGCAGCATTACCTGCAGTAAACAGTGATAATTGATCTACTAGTTGTGTAATAAATATTCTATCTACCTTCCTGATAGTCTGCAGGCTTTCAGCAGCTTCTTGATGTCCATCAGCTGTTCGCGGAGCTCCTGAAGGAGAGAGGAAGAGGAGGAGGAAGGACTTAAATTATGAAGGACTGAAGGAACAAACAAAAGTCAATAGAAACAGTGTGCTGAACTCACCCTGAACTTCTCCAGCTCTTTCACTCTGCTGTAGAGAGTCTTCCCGACGCAGGTCAGGTCGAACAGAGGCTGATTCCAAACTGAGTCCAGCAGCTGTTTGGAAAAATCACTCACAGGATATCTGGAATATCAATATTATATTGACACATTTAGTAGAGAAATCGCTGACAGGATATCTGCGATATTTATATGATCATAACAAATTTAATGGAGAAATTATTCACATAATACCTGCATGACCTGCCCAGCTGATGGTTATTAGTTAACCCTTCCACTGTACATATAAAATCTTGCACTCTAGCCCATCATAATAACGTGCACTGCAGCCCGTCCTAACTTCAATACGTCACTGGTTCATAATGTCCATAATAATGTTAGTTTATTACCTGCTGAAGTCCCAGCAGGACAGAAGTCGACCAGGAATCACGGCCTCGGCGCCGCTGTGGCAGCAGTCACAGAAATACCTGATCAATGAATCATAATTCATTAGTAATCTGATTACAGTCTCTGGAGACATTTAATATGGAGCTGAACGTTTTTCTGGAAGACCATGAGAATCACAGGCAGTCAGAGCTGGCAGCAGCTGTAGGGACATTGTGTTGGTCCAGACAGCTATCGTATGTATAACCATGATATCTTTTCGGATATTCATATTCTCCAGAGGATGAATCGTGCTGACTTTGATGATCCTCTGACTTTTCCTCTAACACAATCATGAGATGAACATTTGTGGTTTTGAGTTAATTATCTCAACAACTACTGGATGGATTCAAATGAAATGTGGTTCAGATGTTCATTTTTTCCTCAGGATGAATTTAATAACTTTGATGATCCCTTCTCGTCAGGGTCAGGTCCAAACTGCACGCTGATGTTAGCATTTAGCAGCAGACTCTTTGTGTTGCTGAAACATTTATAACAGTTACGTACCTGCCGAGATATTCACAATAGCGCAGTTTCTTGATGTACCCTGGTGACACAGGGAGGCAGAACTCAGACATGATTTTCAACAGCTCATACTTCTGATGAATATCTAATTTCTGTCCACAGCCTTTTAGTTTAGCACAAACATCATGAGATAATGTGATATGTGTTATATTTGGTTCACCCATAAAATAAGTGAAAGTCTCAATTAACACAAAAACAGACAGCAGAGAACAGGTGCTTTTCTGTTTAAATTATCTCTTGTGTTTGAATTTCAAATATATTTTTGCACATTCCCACAGCTCTTTGATTTTAAACCTTTACATCAAATATATTTTTAAACTATATTATTCTGTAATTTTACTGTAATTTGTTCTATTCATGTTTCTTGTCTATGCAACGAAGCAAATTCCTGGTAAGTGAAATCTGCGTGGCAATAAATTGGATCCTGGTTCTTCTGAATTTAAAAGGAAAACGGATGTCCAATCAGTGTTGATGGGAAATGTAGTCGTAATTCCTGCGTGTTATATTGAAAGAGAAAGCTAAGTATGTAGCTGCAAAATCTCATATTCCTCCTGCAATATCCTCCTGGAAAGAGGAGGAACTGCATTTCAAACAGCAAAATACAAGGATGAGGGTAAACTGTAAAGCAGGGGTGTCAAACCTACGGCCCAGGGGCCAGAAACGGCCCGCCAAATGGTCCAATCCGGCCCTCTAGATGACTTTGCTCACCTAATGTTGATGCACATGTGAAGGCTGAAGGATTTCAGGAGCAATTTAACAAGTGAGCAGATACTTAATGTAAAATACTGCGTCATGTACGTGAGCAGGAGGACTCAGTGTTCTCAGTCACTACAGCACAAATAAGGAATTAATGCTCAAATTAACTACATTAACCATCAACACTGACTGCACATCCACATAAAGGGTGGTGAACTTTTCATGTAAAGCCCCTGTCTGTCTGTGTGTGTGTTTGGTTTAAAGACAGCACCCCCCAGTGGGTACATTAAAAACTCCAGTGCTTACTAATAACAACTCTATTTTAACTGTGAACTTCACAGGTTTCTCTCCTCTGCAGCTCAACCTGAATGGATTCTGCTAACTTTAATTTAATGACTGATTGAATTGCTGACCCTCTTTCTGTCTTTACTTTCTGTTCGTGGAAGCATTCTACAACTGGAAAGCATGTACATGTCTGTTTATCTTTCCTATACCCAGTGGCCTCCTGCAAATCATAAATCCACTATAATTCAAAAATGTTTGATGCTCATTTTCATCTTTACAATCCAGTACTCACTGGGCTCCACCTCTGTCCCACAGCCTGCACACAGGAAGTGCTGCAGGGCCACGACTTCACTGCGTCTGGAGGAGGAAACAGTCAACTGTGAACGCCAACATCCATCCATCCATTCATCTATGTGTATCTAAATAAATAAAGCACTGATCTCTCAATTAAAACATTCTCTGTGTGCTGCATATTTTGCATTCAGTGTTTGTGTGATGTTGACCTATGTGCTGGCTGAGCAGTGAAGATGATCTGGAAACGTGGCGGGGCCCAGCTCAGAGATCCTCTCATCCTGGTCCTCAGTCTGATCTCCTCTGCCAGGCTGTCGCTGCTCACCGCCACAGCTCCAGTACCTGGTAACTGGCAAAATACAGAGAGGAGAGCACAGTGTTTAAGATCAGCTGTCAGGTTTGGGGATAAGAGACAAAGAGTAATGAAAGGATATTGAAGGAAACAGAAAGCAAAGGTACGACTAAGTTTTTCTGTAGAAATTCATGTTTTGTTCTATTTCCTCTGTTGTTTTGTCATATAGATTTAAGGTCAGTTGCAATACCTAGAAAACGAGAGAGAGTCAGTTCGGTTTTTCTATTCTGCAAAGATGTGTGAAAGACATCTCGCTCACAAGAGACGTTCAGAACAACACAAGCATCAAACCAACTAATCGGTTGATCCAACTGCTTGTCAGGAAGCGGGTTCAAAACCATAGGTGTAATAAGAGATTCTTATCGCTGTGGTGAGCGAGAGAAAGCCTTACTTTTAAAAAAAATCTCCTGAGGCCTAAAAACAGCTTCCCAGGAACAGCACCAGGCTTTGAAGCTAATTTTCATAGTGGCCAAATGTAGAATTTGCCACTATGTTTGCCTACAGACTCTACATTCAGTGAGTGTAGAGTCTGTAGGCAAACCCCAGAGATCTTGCCTCCAGAAGAAGAGCGGAAGAGCCCTGGTTTCCGGTTGTAGGCTGTTTGTAGTCTGAGTGATATTGATCAATCACATTTGAGCCGGCTTCAGTTGTTGCCAGGTTAAACGTGCGGTGAACTAACGAGGTGGAACATAATTGGCATCACTGCACAGCATATTTACTTATATATAAACGGAAGTCGGAAACGGAAATTCGCCTCCTCCTCCCAAATCAAACCGAAATGCCAAAAAATCGGGGGTCTGCCCCCAGAGGCTGTATCGCCGTCTGCCGGGAGTCAGACGTCGAATACAGCCGATGGGTTCCGAGAATGCGTTGGCATGGATGTTAACCAATATATCCACCAGGGGGCAGCCCAGAGTCAAAAATTTATGACAACAAACTCAAAAACAAACATGACAACTGTGGAGGAGATATTGATAATGAACCTCTTGCATAAAAGACAAAAACAGAGGCAGCGTTGTAGGAGGCGGTGGTCGGTGAGGCTGTTAAATACATCGCGACTGGAGGACGGAGAATTCTTCGCACCTTGCCTCAAAAAGTTCCGCCATTGTTATTTCTTCTTCGTGTCTCACTAGAGCTACATATCGGGTAGTGACAGCAACACTGCCCCCACGGCTTCCGGTGGAACTGCTCAGTTTGGCCCGTATCTGTGAGCTTTATGGAAACGTGCAGAAATACAGACGAAATGAGCGCGGAGCACGGACAGAAGGCTCAGTCCGTATCCGGATCAGTATTTAACGTTGAGCATAAATGGGCCTTTAGGGGTTGAAGGTGTGCTGGAGCCTATCCCAGCTGACATTGGGTGAGAGGCAGGGTTCACCCTGGACAGGTCCCCAGACTATCACAGGGCTGACACATAGAGACAGACAACCATTCACACTCACATTCACACCTACGGACAATTTAGAGTCACCAATTAACCTGCATGTCTTTGGACTGTGGGAGGAAGCTGGAGCACCTGGAGGAAACCCACGCTGACACAGGGAGAACATGCAAACTCTGCATAAGGGTTACAATAATGTCACTGTAACAGTAGAAGCACAAACTGGGGAAATATAAGCCACTAATATAAGGGACTTGGCTTGGGAACCAGAGGGTCACTGGGTCAAGTCCCCGTCTGGACCAAATGTGGAGTGTGGACTGGTAGCTGGAGAAGTGTTGTGGTGCTCCTGAGCAAGTTACCACACAGCCAGGTGCTTGGGGTGCCTGTCCATGGGCAACCATGGAAACTTCTCCAACAGCATCTTCCTCACAACGTAACCAACACAGTAAGCATCAGCTACCTCCATCTCCCAGCCATGTTTTATTTTCATCTATTAAAACAATTATGTGGGTGATATTTAGTCACTGTATCGTGTTCTCACCTCCTGCAGGGAGCTGCGGAGGCTTTGCCGTCCACGCCGAGGCTCTCGTGAAGGGAGCCAGCTCCTCCTGAACTCAAGTACCAGCTGCTGGGCCAGCCACTCTGCACTGCATCATGGGAAACCAGATAAACTCAGGACTCAACAAATCCAGACACAACAAGTCATTTGTTTGTATTTCCTTACTTTATGAGAGAGTCTTTGGGTGTCAGCGTCGCGTCGACTCCACAATCTGGAATTAAAACACAGAAGACGACGTTCAGGAATATTTCTGTGTGGTTTGATGTTAAGCTGGAGCCCAGTGGAAATAATTTTACCTTCGAAGCCACTGTCTGTGGAGAGGACAGAGAAAGTCTTGGGCGGATGTTCGGTCTTGTCGTTCCCTGCTTCCTCTTCCTCCTCATCCTGTCTGTGTGGCTGTCTGTGTACATTAGAGGAGTGTGTGTTTCTGTGTGGACTGCAGGTCTGTGTGTGTCTGTTTGTTTTACATCTCTGTTCATGTGGTGGTACGCCCTCTGTCCAGCTGTGTGTGTGTCTGTGTGTGCACATGTCGCAGTGAGATTCCATCGTAGACGTCCATCCATCAGAGCTCAGAGTCCACTTTACACCCTCCAGCACCTCCAGCACCATATCCACCACGATGAAATGAGCATTCTCCTGCACACACAGACGTTCATACAGACAGTGGTGAAGCATTCACAGATACTGACGGTGTTATCATCCAGAGTGAGGCGAGAAGATGTACATCAGATTAAGAGATGAAACTGATATCTGAGTCTGACGGTAACGACTCAGATTTTATATTCTTACATCTGTAATGTACCAAAAGTATGAATAAACTGTAACTGTTCTGGGAACTAACGCACCTTATCCAGCTCACAACTGGTCTTAAAGATGTCTGCATGGAATTCTGGGATACCGCTGCACCTTCTCTGTTTGCTGGGTTGTGTTGAGGTAGAGAGGCCTGACAAAACACACACACACACACACATTCAAAAATAGCATCGCATCATTGAAAGTGATATCAGCACTCAATCAAATTAATTTCTGTGGTGTGTAAAAGTGCAAAAGCCACTATGAGGGTGACATATGGGTTTTTTATTGGATATCTCACCCAGCATGAGATGTCTGATGAAACATAGCTCACACATTCATGGTCCCTGGAGGATGAGTTGTAATAATTTTGAGCATCCTCATTTTATTATTCACAAGTCTCACAGAGCAGCTACACAACTGTGAATCCTTGGACATGTCAAACCATTTGTCTACTTTATGTACAGTTTTTTTTTTCACAGGAAAAAGAAAAGTAATCTCCTAGTGATAAGCACGGATTTTAAAGGGATGCTTCACCTCCAGAATAATCATTTGTATATCAGTAACGCACATTGTATTACGTTGAATTCAGGAAGAAATCTTTGTCTTTCTTGAATGCCTCTACAGTGAACGAAAAATCCAAAAACAGAGAAAATTCCTGATGATTAAAGTCATAGGGGTCCATGTTTAACAGCAGCAAAACTACATCAAAACATCAATTTACAAATGCTCACACAACTTGTGCAGTATAAACCAAGTCTCATTTATCCAGTCATGTGCTCAGTACTTCACAGAACTTCTCTGTGCTCTCTTCAACGCTCACTGAACACAGGAGCTGCTGATCTACCTCTGCCTCGATCAGATTGTTTGTAGCATTGTGTGTCATTAGTGAATCCGAATTAACCCTTTAAAACACCAAAGTCATCCATTAACACAAACTAAGCAATCAATTGAGGCAGCAGTAGACCAGCAGTTCTCATGTTTAGTAAGATAAAATTACTGTTTTCGTCAGTGGAGTCTGACTTTGAAGAGAACATTGTTTCACTGTGATTTCAGTTCCCCGTCGGAAAGGGCTGTCTGTCTGGGAAGTACCGAGCATACAACTGGATAAATGAGACTTGGAGACAATCAAGAAAAACAAAGGTTTCTTTCTTAATTCAACGTAATGTGAGGGGAGTAGCTGATAAAGAAACCATCATTTTGGGGGATGAAGTATTCCCTTTACATTACCTTGTTCACATGAATGAATGTTTGTTAATGAAGCCAGATGAGCTTAAATGAACCGGACTATTATGAACTCCCTCTGAGGCGCAGACCCTTGGTTTGGTTTTTGGTAGGACCATCACTTTGATTGGAAAAATAACTTTGAGATGTCTGTGTTGCTGTGGCAGCACCACCTTATTGTTCCCATTTTTTCCTGGATGTATTTAGAAGTTGATAAAAAACATGATGCCTTAAGATACTTACTCTTCCTGTGGCAAACATCAGTCTTTTCCCTTGTATTAGAATGACTGTGCCAGTCAAACACAGGACGTTAAGAAGTTCTTTGGTTTCTTACAATCAAACTAATCAGATTATAAGCTGTGTTGGGAGGTTTGGGGAACAGCAGGTGTACTCTGTGCATGCAGCAACTGTAGACTCTGTAGATACACCTGTAATGATTCAATCTATTCTAATCTCAGCTAATAGGTTCTGAGACTGTCTTTCAGCCAATGCATTCTGCCTCTCCACATGGAATTTTCCTGCCATTTAAACCACAAACAATACTACTCAGACTGCAAACACAAACTGGCACACTTTCGATTCCAAAACCCATTCTACCTGATGAATGAAGGGCATTGCAGCTGCTTTGGCCCTGCCCTCTGTGCTCCTCAGCCAATCCCTGCCGTCCACTGAAGGCAAGTCGGAGCCCAGCAATGGAGAGGCGGTTCAGGTGTGATGAGGCAGAGGTGCAGCACGGCTTCTTGTTCTCCTGGAGAGGAGACAGGAGGGGACAGGAGCGCGGTTTGGATCCCAGATCCTCCATACTGGTGACTGAACCAGACGCAGGAGACAGAGAGTCCAAGCTAGAGGAAATAATGTTTCACTTATTTGAAAGATATAGACTGATTGATACTGTCAGATTGATCTGACATGAAGTGCACTGACATATTTAGTATCTTTAATGATTTCCTGTATGTAGTGACCTTGATGACGCAGACCTGTCGGTGCCCCCTCCATGCCAGGAGATGGGCCTGTGGCGTCTGGAGATGACTGGACTGCTCCTGGGAAGGAGGAAGGTTGTGTCCTCAAGATGCAGAACAGACAAGTCCTCTTTGTTCTCCTTTCCTCCTTCCTCACCGCCATCATCCTCACCAGCGGCAGGACGATTAGAGGCTTCATCAGTGTTGTTGACAGCAGAGCTGGAGTGTGGGTTTAACTGATGGGACTGTGTGAAGGCCTTGTCATGTGTCGTCTTAGTGAAAGCCAGCTGTGAGTGTTGACGGGAAAATGTTGTGTTTGTTTCTCCTGCACTGGTTTCTGGTGGTGTCAGAAGGAGAAGTGGGACTGATCCTGGATCAGCCGGCTGCTGGTTTTGGTGAGAGCATTCTTCTGCAGCAGCTAACAGAGAGAAAGAGGAGACAGACATATTTATCAATTAATATTTCAAATGGAGATCAGCTGTCATTGCTGAGGGATGAGAGGGAGCAGAACTGAGACGAAACAAGAGGCAAGATGTAGAGAGGTGTGAATGCAGACGAATGATTAATAACACTACCAGATATTTCAGATCAAAGCCTACAAACAACAGGAGGGATTTTGTCATTTGAGCTACTGGAACGGCTTTTAATGCCCAGTATGTAATGTTTAGAAGGATTTAGTGGCATCTAGTGGTGAGGATTGCAGATTGCAACCAGTTCAAACTTCTCCTAGTTAGAATTTCTTCATTGTTCAGGAGGTTTTTCCCAGGAGCTGAATTATCTGCAGAGGTCTCCTCCTATTCAGAACAAACTGACCAACTGATTTAAACCGCTAAAAACACTGAATAGAGCAGTTTCACGTCAAACATCTGTGTTTTTTTAACACTGTACAGCTTGTTGTGACAGAGCAGCTAACTACAGTGCCCCCTGCCAAAATGCGAAAACATGAATGTCCCTATCTGGAGCCAGTGTTTTACTTTTTCGTTCTGGGCTACTGTAGAAATATGGTGGTGCAACATGGCGATCTCCGTAGACAATGACCTGCTCCCTGTGTAAATATGAACGGCTCATTCTAAGGTAGCATAAACCAACCTGGTCTCACTCCTAAGACATTGAATACTGGCGCTTGGGCAGCGAGTTCTTGTGTCAGACACTGCTGAAAAAATCTGTCATTTCACATCAGCATGATACGCAGCCGTTCATCATTACTGGCCGTTCAGCACCGGGCAGCATCAGGGGAAAACGTGGCCGGACCAAAAGGTAAGTTAAGGGGGCGGAAGTCCAAGTAGGGTGGGCAGGAGTAGTGATGGATGGGTCCAACAATCAGGGGCGCCGCCAGGGATTTTGGACCCCATGAAAAGAATTTTTACTGGGCCCTATACACAGCTGGCCGGGAGGCCACCAAAATTTTTTGATGCTAGTTTTACATAAAACTATGCATTTTGATGGTATTTCTGACTATCATTCATTATTTATCATTATTTTTTGTCAGTATTATAATTTTATTAGGGGCCTCTCTGGGCCCCTCTTAATCATGGGCCCCTAGAATCTTTCTCCTTTTCCCCCCTTTTCGGCACCCCAGCCAACAACAAAGGACTTTCACCAGGGAGGCCGGTGTTTGCTACCTGTATGATTGTAAAGCCAAAATCTGTTCACTTTTCCTAGGCCTAACCTTATGAGTGTGTTGACTAAAAGTAACCATGCGCATTAGTTGTCAATGTGTTGTACCAATGTAGTGCTTTTATTTTGAAAGAGACGTGTTTTTTGAAAACAGCCAACATATGTAACAGGCTGAAGTTGACACGGGGTCCCAGAACATCAACAACCAACACACCCAGGGTACCTTGGACGTCATATCTTGACTTGGAAAGTCCATGACCAGATGTCAATATGTGACAAGGTCGGAGTGAGAATGTGTTGCGGAAACACATTGATTCTTATTTTCAGGTGATTATGCACATAAGAAAAAATACTTATTATATTATGTTACATTTCTGTCAATATATCCTCCTAAATCCTACACACTGGAGCTTTAATGTGAATCATCTTTGCCAATCCACAGCAGGCACAGTATGCAACACCGGATGCTTCCTGTGTAATTGCAGTCTTTAGAATCCCTGAAGATGCTTCAGAGCTCTGTGAATCTATTCTGAGTGTGGATGATCTTACCTGTTGCAATCAGAGCTGTAGCTACAGGTGCTGGTGACTCTGCAGAGTCCATACACCAGCTGACATATCTGGATCCACGGAGAGAGGAGGACATGCCGCCGCAGCTTCCCATCTGTACGGCAGAGGAGAGATAGTTTCCCAATGACAGCAGCTTTGGTGCAAACTTCCTGGTGCAACAGTGTTTCCTGAGTCAGAATCTACACGAATAAACTGAGTTACTCAAAACACTTATAGCTCCAGGAAGTTGATCACTACCTATCACATCTTGATTTGTAACTTTCAAAGGCTGCTTGTTGTCCTTTTTTCTGCATGCAGGAAGTGTTATCAGTGCTGCTGCAGTTCCTGTCGTACGCTCATAGAGTCTGATGAGGATCATAAAACAACTTAAAGGCCCTTAAATGTCAAAGTCTCATGTCTGAAGAGTCCTGCCCTCATTTACACTGTTGGCAAAAGATGAGATCAGACAGGTGGTGTTTGTGGACGCTGGTATTTCAGAGAGACATTGTGGAGAATATTCACACACTGAAAGAACTCGAGACATAGTTTACTTTTGAAAGTTGAAAGCTTGCAGACATTTTGGCAATTACACCTTTTCAGATTCATCACGGCAACCCCGACGTGGATCAACACATAATCACAGACATTTGCCAGGAAATGAGTCACTCTCTCTTCTTCTCTTGTGCCACAAATACCTCAGGAAATTGTATGAAAAAGTGAACCGAGCAAAAAGTAAAGATCAAATGTGTTTACGTGTGTGATATCAGGACCTCCTCTAACGTTCCAGAATAAAGGGGCCCTGGTTCTAAACTTCTGCTTTTGGTTTTGATCTCAACCTGCGAACAACTGCCTGTTGATTTCAGCCTGCGCAATTTTAAATGTTACAGTAAAACTTCCTGTGAAACACAAGAGATGTTAAATGGGGTTGCATGTACTGCCCTGTTTGAATTTAACCTCAGAAAGGTTTTACCAGCTTAATGAACTGTGAATGACAGTTTGCAGAACATGGAAGTTAACCTTGAAATGTCCGTACCTCTGGTCCTGAAAGTTTCTAACTTGAATACAAACTCCAGTATGTATCAGTTTAGTCTCTGGTATTCCCCTGACAGTCTAATCAAAGTGCACAGTACCATCACTGTGTGGCAGCTTCACAAACATCAGCTGGTTTCACATCATACATCAGTGACAGTTAAGACGAGACTTAGTATTCAGTGTCAAAAGAAACAACTTGTTTTCTCAGGTTCAGTCAACGTAAAATTTTAAGGCAGCCCAGACAGCAGGGATGGGCAGTATTTGTGTTACTTGTATTTAAGATACGTATTTCAATTACATTTGAGTATTTTGTAATTTGCATATGATAAGGCCGATAAAAAGCAAATGTAATTTGTAACAAAATACTTTTGAGTGGAGTAATTTTGTATTTAAAATACGCAAAATTTTTCTCCACGCATCAAAAAACAAAAATAATAGGCTACACATTCTTATAATGTTGGATGTAACAATATTTTTTACTTTTTTTCATATATATATATATTTTTGTTTATAATATATAATATTTCCTTTAAACTTGGGCCATTCAATGTGCCCTTCAGTGACCTAGTGGTGTGTTTTACTGGACTGTGCATAACATAGGAAATTGTATGTTGTTGTGGTTGATGCTTGGGATGAATATGTTACAAATGAATTGCCTCACGTGGGATCAGTAAAGTTGTCTGAATCTAAATCTGAATCAATAAATAATATTTTAGGGTAGCCTAAATGTCCCTAGCTTTTTTTCTCTTTTTCGTTTGAAAAATATTGAAATTCATTCATATGTTATTATCACAGTGTCTGTGAATATTTTATGTGTTGATACAAAAAAGTTTATGGGCTGTTAAGTCTGGTTAATAAATATATATATACATAATCAAGTTGTTGTTTTTTAATGGCTTTGCTTTGTTACACTTAGTTAGTTCTGTGACTGGTCTGCCTTTTTGTGGGGTTCACCAGAGCTTTGTGTATATCCTATAGTCCAAACCTGAATACTCTGCTACACCAAATTGTGAGAAAACAAGTGCAAATTTGCAATAGCTGCGACCAAATTTGCTGCTATCAAGCCATTAATGGATGAATCATGGTTGTTCTTTCTGGCATAGTTACTCATGATCTCTAATTGCAGCATGTACATTATGAGCATTTTTGGTCAAGGACTTTTTGAGTTATTCACAAAAAGATTTGAATCGGTTAGTATAGCGCCACCTATGGATGAATCGTGGGCATTCTTTCTGGTATAGTTACTCATTGTCTCTAGTTGCAGTATGCAAATTTTGAGCAGTTTTGGTCGAGGACTTTTTGAGTTATTCACGAAAACCTCTGTGGACCGACCGACCAACCAACTGACCGACCGACAGAGTGACCTATAGAGCTGTGGGTCGCTGCTAAAAAGAAAAAGAAAAAAGTATTTTCTGTATTTGAAAATACAAATACATGTATTTTATTTTAATACATTTTCTGGCACCAGTATTTTGTACTTTATTTTGATACATTTATTTGAGTGGTATTTTGTATTTTGTATCAAAATACATTTTGATGTATTTCTGCCCATCTCTGCAGACATTAACTTTTAGAAGTTTAAACAACTTTTTTACAATGCAGTGCATAAACATTTGGAGAAGTTTACTCTGAATTTTTCTAAACAAAATGGTCAACTTTGACTCGCTATCAAATAAACAAAAAAAAATTGATCAATTTCTTCTCGACTACTTTTCAGGTATTTTTGCTTTATGGCCTATAAGGCATTTATTTGATAGCGAGTCCAGCAATAAAAATTCATTCATTTCCCATAATGGCTTATGCCATTGGAGGTGGCGGGGGAAAGGAGCCTATCCCAGTTGACACTGGGCGAGAGGCAGAGTTCACCCTGGACAGGCAACTTAGAGTCACCAATTAACCTGCATGTCTTTGGACTGTGGGAGGAAGCTGGAGCACCTGGAGGAAACCCACGCTGACACAGGGAGAACATGCAGACTCTGCATAGAACGGCTCCACCACCCGAGGGTTCAAACCAGGAACACTCCTGCTGTGAGGCAAAAATGCTAACCACTTCACCAACATGCCACCCAGCAATAAAAATGATTTGTTAAATACTTACTCTACAGGTGACCATGGCTCTGAACAAGAAAGGGAAAGAATGAAGGAGGAGGAAGGAACCAGGAAAGATCCATATTCTACCATCTCACCCTGTTAAAGTTTTCTTTGGTTTTGGTTTTTAGGGTTTTAGGGAGGTGATATTGGACTTTATCTATAAAACTGAAATTGAACTGGAGTTATTATTTGCACAGCCCTTTGAGGCATGCTTTGTGATACTGGGCTGTAACAAACTTTGACTTGAAATACAGGTGTACTATGAGTGTAATAGTGTGTGACTGTAATATCAATTAAAGATACAAACTAAGGAGGCAGGTGTCAGCAAGACATCTGAAAGTGTCCTGAAGGTCTTCAAAAGTATTAGTGTCAAAAAAAAATGCTTAAAAGTTCTCAGCCTGCACATAAAGGTCTCTCCATCTAAAAGTCCAGGGCTGAATTTCAGTCCCGGTCTGCCCCAAGAAACACTAATCAAAGATTTTTTTTTCTTCCGGTAAGTTTCAAAAGATATCTCCTCTTGAACTCCTCTTGGGGGTTGACTGAAAATGGTCTCCCCCAGTGCTGAATATGTGATTACAGCCCTGAGTAAAGATTCAGCTCAAATAAACGGACTGGCAAAATAACAGCACAGAGCAAATCAATCAAAGGGTCAACAGATAAACTGCTGGATGGATTACTGCAGGATCTGGTACACAGATCAATAAAACTAAAAACACTGACCCTCTAACTCATCGACCTCTGACCGCCTTCCTTTGTTACTGTTATCAGCTGATCTTTAACTGATTGCAGATGAATTATTCTCATTATTTATTGGATATCCAGCCCTCTATGTTCTCTTAAAGGAATACGTCACCCCCCAAGCGATCATCTGTCTGTCAGTTACCCACCCAGTGTTAAGGTGTTTTTCTCTCATGCCTCCACAGTGAACGAAGAATCCAAAAAGCTGAGAGAATTCTTGATGAATTAAAGTCATAGGGGTCCACATTTAACAATATAAAAACTCTAAAAACTTCAGTTTACAAACTCTCGACCAGCTCATGCAGTATAATTCAAGTTTTTCACAGGAAATGTACAGTTTGCATACAGTCTCTTTCAAAATAAAAGCACTATGTTGGTACAACACCATAAATTGCCGTTTTTTTCCTTCAACAACAAATGCATATGGTTATGTTTTGCCAACACACACACCTGGTTAGGTTTCCGCAACAAAAGCATGTGGTAGAACAGGGTTTGGGTTTACAGTCTTATGGTAAGCAAACTCCGGCCTCTCGGGTGAAAGTCGGTGGTTGATGGACCCATCCACCACCCCTCCCACCTGCCCAATTTGACTTTTGCCGCCTTAACTTTCATTCTTGTGCCACCGTGTTTCCCCCTGACGCGGTCAAATAAAAGCAACCACATATGCCAGCGTGAAAGGATGGCTCTTTTTAATGGTGTCTGACACCAGATGTCGCTGACCAAGCACCAGATTTCAACGACTTCAGAGTGAGACCGGGTTGGCCAAGAAGCAACAGGCGTGAATGCTTGACAGCAGATCTTTAAACTGATGTTTTGGTATAGTTTTGCTGTTAAACGTGGACCCCTTTCACTTCAATTCATCTACATTTTTCTCAGTTTCTGGTTTCTTCTTTTCTTCACAAATTCAACGTAACACAGGATGAGTAACTGATATATAAATGATTATTTTGGGGGCAAAGTATTCCTTTAATGATGAGAAATAACAACCACAACAACAAAAACTTTAAAAAAAATTGTGATATTTGAATTTTAAAAAATCATTCTCCAATTCTGGGATAAGAAATTTTAAAGCTAAAACATAAATCTGGAAAATGCAGACAGTAACACAAAATGAAACAACAAACAAACTAACTGAACAGAGAACATCGGGAATGGAATATTCCTCAACATTTACTCAAGTACTGTATTGAAATAAAATTTTGAGGTGCTTGTATTTTACTTGAGTATTTCCATTCAATGCTGCTTTATACTTCTACTCACCACAACTCTCTTTTAACAACACTTTCTAGTCGCATTATAAAGGTAATGCATTGATTAATGCATCATTAATTAAAATACAATACATTTATATATATTACTCTGATATGGGACATCCTGCATGATGAGTAGTTTAAATTTCAGTACTTTAATTTGATGTCAGTACTTTTGTACTTTAACTTTGACTTGGAGCAGAGTATTATTACAGTGTGGTATTATGACTTTTACTTGGTGAACGGTGTTGGTTTTTAGTCTTTACCCCAAACCACCAGTTTTATCCAGCACTGTTAAAGAGTACATTTGTGTTTAAGATATTAATAAAAGCCCATTAGTTTCATTTCATGAGATTGACTCACTTCAAACTTCCTGTGTGAGTGCAGAAACACACTCTGATTGTGTGCGATAATATCGTCTTGAAGTACCAACATGTTTCCTATTTTACAAACAGCAAAGTGCATTAAACTGAAGGACGGAGCAACACTGACCAAAACAGCACAGACGTCTTAAAGATCACAACATAAACCAGGCTACTCACCATTCTGAGAGCTCCTAAAGTGAAGCAGCGACCTGTCAGAGGCTGAAGGGACTGAAATGAGTCTTCATCCACCAACAACTGAAGCACAGAAAGGAAGAGAGGCGGCTGGTTATCAACACTTCCTGTATTTAAAACAGTGGTTTGACTTTCTGTGGCTGAGCAGTCGGCACGGTTTGTCCTGACAGCAGAGAGGTTAAAAAGCTCCTGTTAAAGTGCACAACAGAACTTAACTCAAGTAATTTACCCCCAAAATTGTTATTAGTGTCCTGACAATTAGACAATAGACTTTTTCTTATGAAAATGTATCTAAAGTGTGATTTTGCTGAAGAACATACAAACACAGATAAAGAAAAATAGAATCAGATAAAAAAGATGTATTACAATTGTAGTCAATAGAAAATGATGTGATCGAATCTCAGAGCAAGCCACAGCAGCAGTTACATGTTCAGAGATTATGATGATGCATCTTCCTCAATCTAACTGTAACCATAGATAGAACAGTGTCAGGCTTTTTTCAGCAGAAATATTAGAGTGTTGAGCTCAGCAGACGGACGGATGGTTGTCACGTCAGCTGGCAGCTGGTAGAGAAAGAAAGAGGAAGTTTCACTCAGAGTCAAAGTATCAGTGTGTTTGATCTACCTTCATGTTCACAGGAGGAAAACGGAGACGCAGCTCAGATGTCTGAGAGGACACGTGTCCATGTGTGAGACACTGACAGTGCACATTCCTTGTTATTTATCTCCCCTTAAAGTGCCCTGAATGTTTGTGTTTGTTTTCACACACTGGAGGACGTCAGGAGGACTCAGAGCCCAAAGACACCCTGCATCATCCCTGTGTGTAGTTTTAATGTGAGTGTGAAGTGTCTGTCTGGAAGTATGTTTCATATAATCAAAGCAAGGACACTTTTTAAGAGAGTGAAAACTTTAAAAGGAAAAAAGTGGGAACATGTTTAGCAAGCGTGGACATTTTTTAGTAAAGTGAGAACATTTTTAGGGAATGATGACATGTTTAGGAAAGGATGACTTTTCTTTTAGGAAGCAAGGACATCTTTTGGAAAGTGAAGACATTTTTTAGATAGTGAGAAAAAGTTTAGGAAGTGAGGACACTATTTGGACAGTGAGGACATTTTAAGAGAGTGAGGCAAGGATATTTTTTGGAATGTGAAGACTTTTTTTGGAAAGTGGGAAAATGATTAGGAATGAGCACACGTTTTAGAAAGTGGGGACATTTTTGGAAAGTAAGAAGAACATTTTAGAGAATGATGACATCTGTAAGAAGTGAGGATATTTTTAGGGAGCAAGGCTATTTCTTTGGGAAATGAGGACACTTTTTGGTAATGTATGTAATCTTTTGAGAAGGATGGCATTTTTAGGAAGCAAGGACATTTTTTGGAGAGCAGGGATAGTTTGACGACACAAGGCTTTTTTGGAAGGTAAGGACATTTTTAGAAAGTTAGGAAACGTTTGGGAAAATCTGAACATTTTTAGATGGTGAGGACATTTTTAGAGAATGACCACAAGTTTAGGAAGTGAGGACATTTTTAGAAAGAAAGAAGAACATTTTAGAGAATGATGACGTGTAAGAAGTGAGGATAGTTTTAGGAAGCAAGGCTATTTCTTTGGGAAGTGAAGACATTTTTTGGAAAGCAGGGATAGATTTAGGAAACGTGGAATTTTTTTTTCTTTTGGAAAGTGGGAAGCTGCTTTGTGTCTCTTTGTGGTCATTTTGAGTCTCTCGTTAGTGTGTGTCTCTTCGAGTCACATTTTGAAAGTGAAGGTGAGGGGCCCCTAACACTTTGGGCCCCTGAGACTGTGCCCGATAGGCTTGTTCAATAATCCATTATGGGAACTGAATGATTTTTGGAAAGTAAGGACATTTTTAGAGTGTTGGGACATTTTTGGGAAACTGAATTTTGTGGGGATTTTTTTTTCTTTCAGTCTTCACATTGTCAAAGTGCTGTTTGAGGTCTGAGACGTGGTTTGGGGTTAAATTTAGACTGCAGGTTAACGTTAGAGTCTATGGGATGTATTGTACATTACATCAGTGAAGGTCCTCATAAGTGTACAAGTCCAAACAGGAGTTGGCACACCGACTGTAATCAGTGATCAGCACTGTGTATCTGCTGATGTAAGCTTGTTATGTAATCGCTTGACTCAGCATTCCCGCTCCCCAATGGAGCTCTCCCACTGTCTCTCTCTCTCTCACACACACACACACACACACACACACACACACAGTTGGTAGTAAATAAGGATTTTTACCTTCAACACAAAGCAGATTGTCTCTCTGCGTGCAGAGGTGAATCCAGGCTGCTTTTACCTCACAAAGCCTCAACAAATGATTCAGCAATGTGTTGTTTGTTCTTATTCATATTAAAAATCAATGACTAATTTATCTGCATAAGTAATACTGGCAAAGTTCACAAAGTTTTGGCATCGTTACAGAACTGAAAAAGCCAAGAAAAATGTTTTGACAGCCAAAATTTAAGCATCGAAAACTGCTTAGTACCAAATTTTGTCCCATTTACAGTATTTTACTTAACAAAAGTTCTCATTCACCTGTTTAAGAGTAATAAAAAAGTACTATTTATGTGTCTGTACAAAATCCCATCAGCACTATTAAAAAACTCCTCATCCTCAGCCTTCATCCTAAAAAGTGTAAGTATTGAGTGTTTAAACCTGCAGCAGCTGTTCCCTCTGTTTGAAGGGGCAACAAACTGATTTCACTCATGACGTTTGTTCAACAACTCTGCCTGTGAGAGCTGCTTTATAAAGTCAGAGCAAATAACTCTGGTGATGTACCGTGTGTTGGCTTGAACTGGGATACTGCACATGATAACAGAAGTCCAGTGTTTCAGACTGGGTCCTTGAATTTGAATGAAAGCTTTGGGTTATACCAGAGATGCTTTATTGGAGTGTTTTAGGGTTTGATGCACTTTTAGTTCAGTAACTTTAAGTAAAGATAGCTCAGCTTCTGCTGCATCTTTGTTGCATGTTTTTTTTTGTAACCACACTAGCGGCAAGGCTCAACTATTGGATTAATTGGGATGAAATATCGTTGGGATATTCATGGTCCCCAGAGGATAGAGCTTACTGACTTTGCTGATCCTCTGACTTTCCATCTGGCGCCACAATCTGGTCAAACTTCCCCTTGAAATATCTCACCCTTTACTTCATAGATTGGCACATTAGTTTGGTTTGCAGAGGGTGAACTCGTTTGGCAGTGATGATCCTCTCCTGTAGCACCACCATGAGGTTCACATCTGTAGTTCTTATCAAAATGTTTCAACAACTGTTGGGTGGATATTTAATGGCAGTTGGTTCAGACGCTCATGTTCTCCACAGGTTCATGTGTAATAATGTTGGTGACAGTATGAAGCAGTGATGATAATGATGATATGCATTAACAACAAATCACATGAACACTTGATTAAAGTGGCTTTCAGCAGGATAACAGTTTAGTTTTTGAGTATATTAAAGGCTCTGCACACCCACACATTTGTTTGTGTTATTGTGGTTGACTGGGCAGTGCTGGCGCTAAACTAACAGGAAAGTGACACTGTGTGCAAGTGCCCACATGAAACTGAGACCAGCTCAGTTCAGCCAGAATAAGTGAAACTTGTGCAACATGTTGCTGCAGCATGTGGACTCTAGTGAAATGTTGACTTTACTTTTGTGATATTTACATGAAAAAAGGAAAGAAAATAAAGTTGCATTATGTGTTTCGATCATTTACTAACTCTGGGGCAGAATGTGAATAAGTGTATTCCCTTAAAAGGTTGAACTTTTCCTTTAAAGGGAGTGCTTCATAGAGCAGCTCTTCCTCATTTGGTTTGGATGATTTAGGAGGATCGTACCAGACCCCTCTGCAGCTGAGCTAATGACATATGGTGTGAACATATAATTACTGATAATGTGACCTCCACATGTTGGTAATGTGCAACATTAAGCCACAGACCTCCACCTGATAAGAGTTATGAGTCTGCAAACAGATCGACAGAGTCTTAAATATGCAGCAGTTTTTGTGAGGCCCCAAACAGGCCCAGGATTTAGGGTCCAGGTGTTAGAAACAACCCACAGTGTCACTCAGGTATATTGAAGTGCAGCATGCATTAACTTTGTCCACCAGATGTCACTGTTTAGTCGCTGTTTTAGTTTCCCTGCTGTTTCTCAGACGCACAGTCCACTGCGCAGCCGCACTGAGTGGGCTGCGTCAAGTCAAATGAATGTCAAACCAGAAATGTAGAGGGCCTGTCTTCAAAATAAAATGGTACCAATGGAAATAGAATGAGAGTCAAGTTAACTAGGGTAATAATGAAAAAAATCATACTTAATTTTGATAAACTTTTATTTTTGAGGCCGTATTGAGACCAGATATACAGATTATATACCCAACCACACAACTGCAGCATTTTTCTCATAATTTTATTTTCTTTCAAGCTGGATTTATTTACAGTCATTATTACTGTCAGAATCAGAATCAGAAATACTTTATATGTAATAATAATAATAATAATAATAATAATAATAATAGTAATAATTAATCTTCTTCTTCTTAATTATAATTATTACTATTATTATTTTTATTATTATTATCATTATTTAAATAAAATATCCA